TCGCAATTTGCAGGACGCGACTAATATCGACTAATTTGCCTCACAGGCCGGCCCACGCAGCATCGAGTTTGATGCAGTTATGGAGCAGAGGGAACCCAAATTCAAAAGGTGCACATTTCAGAGTTTTGAGACCGCATATACTCCAAAACACTTGTTTTTGAACTTTTGCAGGCCTCCAGGGCCGGGCCTGCCCGAGAGGCAGCAATTCCGAAGGAGCCTTTACGTGGCCTCCCAGACCTCCAAGCGCCCCTTGCCTAGAACCCCAGGCAAACCGCGAATGTGTCTCAGCAGATAGGGCTTGCCAAACCCCAAATTAAGTAATGCTGAAACCTAAATGAGGGCTTGCTAAACCTAAATAAGGGCTTGCTAGTGCTCTGCGTTAAAGTTTGCTAAACTCTGCATGAGGGCCTCCTGCACTGTACTCTGGGGCACCCCTCTCTCAGCTTTCCGTTTCTTTCGGAACTTTTGGAAATGAATAAACCTCTGACAAACACGCTTTTAAACTTGTGTGGGCCCCTCAGGACATTTCGGAGCCTCCAAATTCAAAATTATGCGTGTCGAAATCTTGGGCCAAAAACTTTAATATACTTTATTAGCCATCTTCAGAGCGTGATACGTCCGTTTCGGAGGTTTTGAATCCGAAAACTCCGAAACAAGCGGTTCGCATGCGTTCATGGGCTTGGAGGTCAGGTCTCAATTAGTCTAAAGCAGTTCTTTTACAGATTCTGCATGAAGCGAGTCCTTTGCAGAACAATGTTCTGCATTGACATGGACATGACTGATGTGTTGGACAACACCATTCAACACGAAGACGATGACCGCCCCCCAAGTTTGTTATGACAGAGATCATGCTGCCCAAATTATCAGGCAGCTGACTCCAAAAGGCGAGGTAGTTTCCCCAAAATACGCTCCGGACTAGGAGATACCCCACGTGAAACAAGAACAGCATCTAAAGCTTGGGCTCTTAAACATGGCACACTGCATACATCTGCATACACTGCAACGAACATGACATCTCCCGAAATAGCTGAGTTGCAACCATCAGCTTACAAAGTGTTGCAGAGTGGGGCCATGCAAGGAGATTTATGGCTTCAGCAGACAGCTACTGTACTGAGGCCTCCACCACCCTGGCTTTGCGCTCTCTCTGGGGTGTTGGAGTGCAAACTGGACAACAGAGAAACAATGCCCGACAGCCCTTTTTCATCACGCTGACGGCGAGTCCTGATCCACCTCCACCTCAGAGTTGGGCAAACAAAGTCAGGTACGAGTAGCACTGCACAACGCAGGAACAGCTTGCACTGCATCCGAGCGTAAGCGGACAAGCACATTGCAGTCGATCAGCGATGAATACTTCTTGCATACAACTTTTACCGAAATTTGCCTGAGCCCCGGAGTTCACTCCGTACCACAGAAGCACATGAACCACCCCAACAACGGCCATCTGGGGCTTCTTCTTGCTTGGCTGAGAAAGGGTCAGAGCTCGGCTCACATTCACATTTACATTAATGCAAAGAAAATAGATCCAACTCAGAAGAGACACCTCCTTCACATTCCAACTCTCCCCTCCCTTCAAATCTCAAGTGGTCCTGAGACACTGAGATGGGCGCAGTTGCCACGCCACCAGCCACAAGAACAAGTCTCCCGAGAGCACCAGCATCAGCCACAGCAGCCATGGCAAGTACCGTACCTGCATGCTAATGACATCGGTGAAGAAGAGCATCTAAGGGCGACATTGTTTTTTGCAAATAGGCTTTTGTCTAGAGCCTTACGCCTCAATTGCGCCTTGCAGCACAGGCTCATCAGATTAATTAATCCCCAGCCGGTACACCCAAGTCTCAGTCGCATCGCTCTGCCACTCTTTCTCCAGGCACTCGAACTCCAATTAAAAAACTTGAGGCATCGAAAGATAGCCACGAAAGACGTTTTCAACAGTGACCCTGGAGTTTTTTGAAAAGCATCGCTTCGCACTGCCCCAGCTGTGTCAGTGGCAGCGCGGCAGCCCTTATTCAGGCCCTCCGCCCGAGCTGTTCTTGGTAAAGCTACTGCGGGCACACTCACCGTCCACCCTGGCGCGTCATCAGCACTAGAAATCAATAGAAGGATGCTCCCTGAGCGACAGCCGAGACGATACAAACTGACAGTTACTCCCCATGACGCTGATGATGCTTCTTCTGCAGGGTTTTCCATTACCCGCTTGCATAGATTCATGGATCTTATAGGTCAAAAACGTGCCCCAGCTGTGCTGTGCTGATGATGACGGCGCGTGAGCCGTAGTCTGAGTTCAAGAGTTTTGACGGAGCCGGCTCTGGTTCGACGGCCGAGGCGGTGTTAAAGTTGTTGTTTTTCTTTCGCATGAGGCTCGACTAGATTCTCTGGCAGATCATGGGACTCTTGCAATTCCGCATACATGATGAATGAAGCAGCAGCCGCACATGAAAGTTGAGCAACCTTACACTTGCACGTTGTTTCCTAGGCTCGAACGTTCGCCAAGCTCTGCGACGCTGCGCAAGTGGCATGCGTAGTCACAGTATACGGCATCCACAAGCCAGCTCTCACCCAAACAGGTTCTGGTGAACAGCTGTACCACTTGGTACGACATGCATGAAAGGTAGGGTGACTGGCAGCTTGACTGGCAGGGCGAAGCCACAATGACCAATCTCCGGTTCGGCAGTCTTCACCTGACAAAGGGTTGGGCAGGGCTTTTGGTATTTTCCTGTGCTTAGTAAATCGGAAACTATTTGAAGAAAGGCTGCGAGTTGGAAGCTGCGAGCTTCCTCCTCGGCCTTTGGGTGTCCCAGCCTCCACGCGCCCCCTCAACGCGACGGCTTCAAGGCATCGAGTTAAATCGCGCGGAAAGGTCTTCTTGTCCTGGAGTGTCTTCAGCCTGGTCAGAGGAAACCTGGCCCGATTTGCTTTCCCTTCTCGCCACGATGTGCCGGCGTGTCGCAACGCGAGGCTTAGTCAGGTCCCTCTGGATTTCCTAGTTCTTGCAGTGTCGGCAGAGGTGCGGAGAGCTGCTGGGTATCACAACGGCCATGGCATGCCATGGCTCACTACAGCAGGCTTGGCTCGTCTTTGGGCCGAGAGCACCTGGAGATTCTGCTGGTTGAAGGAGTGCCCTGATGCTGACTGATCTGAAGCAGCTTTCAAAGCAGCTGCAGTAAGTGAGCTCACCGCGAATTTCGCAATTCCCTTCAGGTTGGGCAGCGCCTAAGGCATCAAGCGTCAACAGAATCTCGAGCCGCATGCGCAAGCTCAAACAAGCTGGCAGAGTCAGAACTCGCCGTAGCGAGCTCGTTCGTAAGGAATGGGCCACTGGAGCTTCCCACCTGGCCATGCTGGGAATCTGCAACAGGCGAATGTGCCGTCCAGAAAGCAGTCCGCAAAGCTTGCTGCGCGCAAAACCCTTTCACACAAAGGCAAGCCATGCAAGCCCAAACTTCTGCACTGCTTCGAAGACCACCAACGGCTCGACGTGCTTGACACGCAAACGCACTGGGATGCTACGAAAACCACTAGTATTCACACAACAGGGGCAAACGAAAACATGCACAAGACCTGGCGATGCCTCGATCTCTGCAAAGCACTACCTGTGCCAAGAGAAGAGTTCTGAGGGTTGTCCACTTCAGCAACTGGCGCTCTCCAAAAGGTCCAACATACCTGATGTCACAAATGTCGCAACTACAACTACAACGTCCAAGGCCTCCAAACTTCTGTCGAGCGCCCACGTACCCAACAGAGATACGAACAGCAAGGATGCGACCTTGACCTCACTGTTACCGAGTGGTCAGTAGTGTAAATGGACAGCACATAAGCTCACAACCTGGAGTGCACGTGGTAAAGTCGTTAGTTGCAACACCTCAGATATGCTTGGCAGGCTTTGTCTCACTGTTCAGCTTGTCAGCAGCCATGTAGACATGTCTTAGTTATCTTTTATCACGACAACACGTACTACACGATTACAACAATTCTACAGCCCCTGGCCCAGGCAATCTAAGGCCGGTGCCCCAACACCAGTCTGGAAGCAGCCAGTTGCCCCAGCAGTCGCCAAAGCCAACGATAACGCAGCCGCAGCAAGCAGAGGGGGGTTCTCCAGAATGCCCTGCACATCAATAATCGCTGAGCTACACAAGAACAACACCGATGCCACGGCAGAAGCACAAGGATCGTTGCGAAAACCTCCAAGCACGCTCGCAACAGGTAGTCAATTCACAATGGAAGCTGTTGCAAGATCCATCTTCTAATAGTGCTCCTTTTGCTATGCCACGACCCGACATTGAAATGCCGCATTGCAAAGGCACACTTGGACGCGCTATGACGCCAGTTGTAGATCGAGCTCACAGATACTCACCGGACGTGATTTGGCATGTTCAAAAACAAGCAGGGCTCGGCCTGTGACCGCGCATCATGATGTTTCACGTGTGAGCATTAGTTGCATTGAAGTAATGTCCTCTCCATGCACTTGTGTGCACTTGTAGCATGTACTGACAAAGCATCAGCAGCGGCGTAGATAGCAATTGTAATACGTTTGTTTGCTTTGACTGCTTTGTTACAGTCCTAACTTTAGATGACTCTTTTTTGTTCGGATCTACCGGCAACCCTTGCGGCTTGTGTGTCTGTAATCGTAAGAGCAGCGCGAGGCAGTTCATGCTTCCACCTTGTGAATCTTTTCTACATGGAAATCCAAGATCGCAAGGAAATCTCGCAAATATCGACAAAACGGCCGCTGTTGATTTCAGGCCGAGCCATGAAAACCAGGGACGTTGGCAAGTACAAATTGCAAAAGCATTGCACCATGTCACCTCACATGCTGCTGGAATCCAGAGGTGCTTGTCGGCTGGCACAACGAGGCATCACGACGCACGACGCGCAACAAAGGCGAAAGACTGGTGAAATGACAGAAAGCCCAGGGCTCAAGGATCTCAGGGCGAAAACCAGTCGTGGAAGACAGCCGGCACTATCTCTCAAGACAAGCAACAGTTGGGGACACAACTCGGCGCCTGTATCCATGGCCTGCCCTTGTAGTTGACCAGCAAAACAGCAATGCCTGGCGGGTGACTTAAGCTGCAAGCAATGGGAATTGTAAATGGTCGTGTGCTGCCTTTCACCCATACTTGTTGAAGCTGTTTTGTGATGAACTTGTTACAGCTTTCTTTGAATGGCTCTCACACCGGGGAGCCATCATGCCTTGAACCAATTCGACGTAGAACACGACGCTGTTAAGAAGATTTGGCCTGAAAAACGATTGCCGCGTAGCTGAACATGAATGTAGCGCGAGACGGATGCCTGAACGGTCTTGAGAACAAAGCCCCTGGAGATAGCGCATCCCAAAAGTCGAAGGGTTGTGCCTGGATCACACAAGCCAAGGCAGGACCATTGCGCCCCTTGGCCGCCCTCAGCCTGCGCCCACTTCTGAAAGTCCAAGAGCTCAGCCATGGCCGCTGGACCCATGATATCCTTGCGGTGACAAATTGAAGACTTGACAAAATGTACTTCGTGCAGTCATCAACAAATCCAGACTCTCTTTAGCTTCCAAGTTTGCAGAAAATCCAAGCCTTCAAGCGCTGAAGACTTCTAAACATTATGGCAAGTCCCGGCCTTTGCCCAGGATACTGCCCGGCACAGGACCCAGACATGCACCTTCCAGCAGGTCCATATCGTTTCATGTCTAGTCGAGTGTCTGCCCCGCAGCAGAAGTAAGCCCTGTACAAGCGCTTGTCCCAGCGTACTCAGGATTGTAGGAGGATCAAAAATCGTAGTTGCCGGGCGGACGCCTGCTGGCTGACGCGGGGCCTGGGAAAGGAAAGCGGAGAGCAAAACAGAAAGATCAGTCAACAAACGACTCGTGCTATTGCCATCAGAAAAAAGTTTGTCTCGTGGTGTAGAAAAGACTCAGCTTTACATGTATTGTAGACATGCGCACGGAACCTCGCCTGCTGGGAACAACCGTGGGGAATGGCAGGTTATGCATATCAGTGCAGAACTCGCTGCAACCTAGACCCGTTCTCCATGAAGGCCTTAATTAACTAGGCCTGTCACATGAGCCTTGGCATTGATGAATCCGAAGAAGGCCATGGAGAACGCAAAGTTTGAGAAGATCATTTGAATCTCCTCAGCTTCCCAAGACGGCTTCTGGCAACTTATCTGACATGATTGTCACCCCAGTGAGCTCCGAAATGGAAAAAGCTGCGTTTGTCGTTAAGGTCAGCTTCCCGAAATCCTTACACAAACTGCGTGAGGTTTTTGTATTGATTATGCCTCTTGACACAGCACTCAAGTCAGCACTACATCACATGAGGGAGAAGCGGGAATCGAGATGGATAATAGGATCGCATGGCGCGCTGCTTCATGTTTGATCTACCTCCTGCTAGTATACGAGCGCGTCAAGAGGTACATGAAGCACGTCATCAGTACAGCAAGGAAATCCAGGGTTTTGAGCTTAATTGTCCCAATCTTGAGAGCTCGAAGAGCGCATGGCCATACTCGTGCCAGCGACGGATCTCAACGTGACTGCTGTGGCAGCATGTGACAGTTCAAGACTTCGTGCTCACAAGTTGATGCCGAGAAAAGACTCTGGTACTACTCTGTGGCAAAGTGAAGCACTTGTGAGACTGCTCCTTGCTGATGCTGATCATACTGTTGATGGATGAAATCTTGCACCACCTAGGGGCCCTAAACTACTGTAATTCCTAGGACTCTAAGGACTCAAGGTGGTGCAAGATTTCCTCCGTCAACAGTAGACCTCTTATTGGATGGTCTTCACGGCAGTACTGGAAGATACTGCAAGCATACTCAGCATGGAGGCCATGACTCAGATGCTTATGTGCTGCTTACTGGCGGCAAGCGCTACACTCGCGATGAAATACATTGGGCACCATCACAGGGAAGAGCCTTCAGCAAGCCAGACTATGGCTAAAAACTGCGGCCTGAGCGTGTCGAGTTGTTGCCAAGGCTCTGATTGCCTAGCACCCTCGATGGAGAGAGCGGCGTAGCGCCACATGCCAATGATGGTGCCTTGTCTTGCAGAGCGACACAGCACAAAACAATTGAAGCAGACGAGGATGCTGTCTAATGCTGTCTAATTGAGACAAACAGAACCAGTAAAATCAGACAATCAGTGTCACGCAATCTGAGACATGTTGCTCAACACCAGCTGCTGCGTTTGCATTACCATGGAGCAGGATGTGCATTGCCCCTGACGCAACATCTCCGGAACCCCCAGCAATGTCCGTGAAGTAAATGGTGCTACCGCCGATGCCTGAGCAGCTTGAATTCCCTCCTGCTTCTCCTCTTTCAATTTTTGGGCAGCCTCGCTGACGCGTCGCTGTCCTTGTTTCAGTAGCTTCATCATCTGCTGCCAACTTAACGGCCGGCCTTCCAAACGTCTCCGTTCAACCTCTTGGATATACCATGACCTCTGGACTTCAATCTGCCTGCTGATCTCACGCTGCACGGCCTGAAGGCGCTCTTGCTGTAACCTTTGGGACCGCATACGCATTGCGGCATCATCAAAGAAATCGACATCCAAAGCCGCTTTTGCTGGCCAGATGGCCATGCCAGCATCAGCAGCTGCCAGAGCACCGACATCGTTGCCTCCATCCCCAACCATCACAACACGTTCTCGCTTGTCAGAACTGTGCTTGAGCAGTTCCACCAGCCTCGCCTTGCCATGCGGCGACATTCTAGCTAGAACCGTGGCATAGCCCGCTTCGGCCCATGCTGCCTGCCCTGCTTTCTCCAACTCTGGTTCTGTTGCTACTAAAATCCTCCCACCTCTAACGAGATCCTTCGCTGCAGATATGGGGAAAGTCCCTCTATGCACTTCAGGATCCAGAGCGCCAAGAAGTGTGCTTTCCTTCCACCTTCCATCCTGAAGTTCCATCATGGGGGCAACGCCATCGAGCATCTGGTCGCAGAGCTGGTCCTATGCTCTGTAGCAACTCTGCAGCAGCTGACTGCTCTATCTCGGACAAAGATGGAATCAAAGCGTACGCAAGCATAAATCAATCAAATTCTAAGACATGTAGAAAGGGTCAACATGACACAAACGGCCTTGCAGCGTTCGGATAAATAACGGGGTTGGGTGTTTGGAAGCTTTTCCTCAGGTGGTATGACACAACCGCTGGAGCTTCCGGAGTTGGGTTGTTCAAACACTGTCAAGTCCAAGTGACGAAGCTTTTGTTCACGCCACCCCCTCGCCTGTCCGGCACTTTATCCCTTCCTCTCAACCCTCTCCGCTCTTTTCGAAATCAACGCCAGGATTGCTAAAGCAATTTTGGATTTTATGGGATTGCAGAGGCTGGCACTCTCCGCCCTCCGTCCTAACACTTCCGGGGCTAGTCTTCTTGTTGCTCGATGAGCGCAGTCAGATCATGGTAACTGGTGTGCCTCCACTCTCCAAATATCTCCAAATCAAATGTCTCCAAGCTTCCAGACACATGAAGGAAGGCAGAGGGAGACCCCGATACCCGGAACCCAGAAGCCATGACCAGCATGTCATCAATCTCTACAACTCTAGAACATGCAACTCCAACAGTTGTAGAGAAGCTCCTCTGTTCTCGTCAGCAATCCTGCTTCGCGGGCAGCGTGGCAAGCCGTAGCCAGAGCGTCCCCGGTGACAACTGCGGCAAAACAAGTCTCGCTTCAAATCCAATGTAGATAAAAACATCTGTTTGGATGCGTCCCGAAGTCCTGCGCAACGGACACCAGCCTTTCGCAGCATACTCACGGCCTGAAACGGCAAACGTCTGGCTGCACTGAGTGGGATGCCCCTTCTTCAAATCCAAAAATGACTTTGCAAGCTTTCATTGCCGGCTTGTCTCCAAAGTATGCAAAATCATTGTCCGGGTCAGCTGCTGCATTTGCAGCTTGTGCAAAAAAGTACCAACAATCCAGCCAGAAGCGAAATGATTCAGCTGTGAAAGGGTTGTGACACTTCTGAACCACAGGCCCTGATGCCTCTGGAGCTTCCTCCTTGCAGCTGTTTTGGAAGGCAATGAAGCCCGCAAATCGAAGCTTTGCTTCAGCTTCCTGTCTTGGCGCGCAGGTCATCTGCAAGGCCCCTCAGGTGTTGCAAGTGCACACCTGCACACCGCACACCCGCCTCCCTTGTCACGGCGGCCCCTGGTGCACTGATTTCCTTGCCGGCCAGGCTGGAGCAGCTAAGCAGCTAAGGAGAAGCGAGGAGTTCCGAGCCTTCCAGCCCAGCGCCAGCACTCTGAGGCCACATGCTCCGAAGAAGGCTGCTGTTTTCTCGTAGTTTTCAGGCAGATCAACCACCAAGCCGAACAGGGCCTGGCAGTGAGTGGCAACATGGGATTGCACCGGACGGTTTCTGCCAACATCAAATAGTGAAACAACACGCCCAAAAACGCATTGTATACGTTACTTTCTTGCATTTACTCCCCACATCGGCCAAGATCATGAGCCTCCGGGGCACCCTTGCACAAGACCACAGCTGAAGAGCCAGCTTCTATCACGACCTGCGCATGGTTTAAGAGTTAAAATGCTCTCGGGCTTCAGCGCCGCTCAACAAGACTGTCTCTTTCTCTCGTCATGTCACGATCCACTAGATTCAGGGGATGGACGGGCGGCGGCACCAGCAGCTGAGTGCTTGGCTGTCATGCGTCTGAGAGCCGGATCAAAATCAAAGCGTAAAGAGGGAGATCCGATGTCCGAAACACCTGCAGGGCAAGTCGCAGGAAAATGTTTGGGTGCCTCTTGCATGACAAACATTCATGTAGCCTATTGAACCGTGAACAGCTTTCAGCAGCTACGCGTCAAGCCGATATGAATCAAAAAGAGCACCGTTGCCTTGGTGCTTAAGCAAAGGCACTGAAAAAGCCTGGAACCCACCTCTGGCCTTTGGTAAATTATCCGGCAGTGGCTGTTTAAGCCCATCTCTCCCAGTTGCGTTGCCCATCTAGATATATTCTGCGCCTATGACTAAGGGCATCCGGGGTTCAAAGCAACTTTTCAGACTCAACACCGCCAACCGTGCTTAACAAACGACAGCTCTAACGTTGCTAGCTCTGATGGTCAATGAGGAGGTCCGCGCACCTCCACGTGATATGTGGACATGTATGATAGGAAACACAACCCATCATCAGAACATGAGTCCAAACCTGCAGTACCCTGAAAACTTGCATCCGGCGCTGGGAGGAAGCTTTATCCGGTAGTTCCGACTATGAGATCTCAGGTGCCAGGCCTACAACGCCCGTCACATGCAATGTCTGCAAGAAACAAGCGTGGACTCTGAAATGCCAATGGCATGGAGAGGCATGCGTAACGCAACTCGGAACCTCAAGCCCGCAATGAAACGGGAGGCACTTATGTAATTCCATGCCGGTCCTCGTGTACACAGCTAACCATACGTACATGAAAGCTGATGCCGCCTAGATCCTCCAGCACCGCAGTTTCCAAGGTGTCGCCCAACAGCTTGCCACGCTCTTGCATGACGCTGTGACAGTGCTTGAGAATTCGATATGCGGGCTCTGTTGGCTGCAGAGCTTGAAGCGGGATGAGATTGTCAACGTTCTTCGTGAAAGTCTGGGCGTGCTGCGGTAGCATGACACCTGCAAGGAACCGCAAAACAAACTAACCAAAAACATGTATGCGCCTATGCCGCCTAAATAACCTTGGACCAAGACTGAACAAGGTGTGGACATCATAACACAACAAAACGTGTGCTAGCATGCCGTTCGTGCCCCTGCACCTGCTACCTCCAACTTGTCGCTTGTCAAAGTTCCTGTTTTGTCAAATAAGCAAGTTGACATGGATGCAGCTTCCAGAACACGCAGCGGCTCCGCGCAAATGATATCTTTCGTGCGTAGCACATCCAATGCGCGCTGCACAGCATAGGTCATCAGCAAGGGGAGTGTAGGCTGTATCACGAAGCTCAGGATAATACTTGTCTTCAACCAAGCATCATTGCGTTTGCCATGGATGACCACTTGCAGAGCCGCAAGTGTGGCAAAGCACAGCAGCAAAAGAACCACTTTCAAGGTATCTTTATCTCGTATGCTTTCTTGGCTAGCTATTGCTCTTCGCATTAGCAAGCCTTGTTTACAGTGAAATCCTGTCTTCAGTACTGCAGAAGCACACCAAGTGTCATCCTGATTCCCTCTTACAGCAAGGACCTGCGTTCCAGCAAACAGGATGGAGTGCATGTCGCTCTCATCGGGATTTCGGGGCTCTGGCAGGGTCTTTGATTTAGTGACAGGAGCAGATTCACCAGATAGGGCTGCTTCACTGGCAGTGGCTGAGCCATCCAGTAGGAGTGCATCACAGGGCATATCCATCTCTTTCCGCACCTGTATGATGTCGCCTGGAACAAGCTCCGCAGCAGGTTTGAGCACCCAATGGCCAGAACGGAGAACAGACACCTGCTCGGATGCTGTTGCTGTTGCGCGGAGCTGCGCCAACGATTTGTGACGCGACATAGCTGCACCAACTTCAAAGCACACTAAAGTACCAAGGGAGAGGAGCGTAAATTGCCAATAGCCATCAAGGCCCCACAAAAAGACTGATGCCAGCTCAAACAGAAAAATTGGACGAAGCAGGCGCAAAAGTACCAAATGTCGAATAGTTGGCACCGCGATCCTATAATCATTGCTGCCATACTTTTGCCGCCTCGCCTCGACATCACAGTCTTCCAACCCGCCGTTGCTGTATCGCTGACAAAGGGACAAAACTGGCTCCTGACTTTGTGGGGTTACGATTGCACACACATCTCTGCCAGCACCTTGCAGCTCGTATTGCTGGCCATGATATCTAAAGCGTTTGGAAGATACTGACAACTTGCGGAGAGCAGCTTTGCCAGGTCCGGTAAGAATCAACACCCAACTTCCTGATCTGACGTCCTTCGCTTCCCGAAAGTCTAGATGATAGCGTACCCATGCAGATGTCATCCAAAAGCCGACTAGAAGCAGATGGGCTGACACGGCACCTGCAAAAAACAGCCAGCCCCAGGACATACACCAAGCAAGGGCAGTTGAACAGCCGTATAATGTCACAATCAAGATACGCCGACCAGTTCGACGAAATCCAGCACTCTCTGCTACAACAACCTTGATGAATTCCTTGGAGCCGTCCGCCTGGTGGCGTGCAACGGCCAGCTGCCGTGAGCGCCTCGCATGTCCTGGCTTCCATACTCTGCCTTCGCAAACACTCCGTGGACGTGGCAGGAGCGGCGGAAGCGCACGCACGGATGTAGCTGTGACAATTCGGCCACAGAATCCATCATGGAGGCCAAAATCCAGCATCTGCTTCTATGCTGACAACCCGCAGCCCTTTTTGCAAAGCTGTCAGTTCTACAGCCCATCTGCAAACCTCCAAGTCATACTGGCATTCAGCTATCCCCTGGACCGTATTCCAGCTCCTACACTCGTCCTTCCACATATCTAGTGATTGCTTCTGAAGCGAAGTGCAGATGTCGACAAAAAAACACAATCTGCAGTCAAAGACACCGGCCTAGGTTGGCATCTAAGTCGAAGACCTACTTAAGCTGTTCCAGTTATTTGCTTTGCTTTTGCCTTTTAGGCCCCGGAGCCAGACTTTTCTCTGTGAGCCATTCGTATACTGGTAATAGCTTTGTATGGTGATGGCTTTTTTGGGGGGATAGTGTGTGTGTGTGTGTGCGACTGCAATGACTGCACCTGTCTGCACAATGCAGAAGCTGCTGAGTTCTCAGGGTTTTGTTTAGGAAGATTCTCACCCCGAGGTCACCTTACAAGGTCTAAGTCCATCCCAAGAAAGGCTAGAAGTGACAAGCAAGAGGCAAACCAATGACCACCAGCCCACCGACGCACAAGCAACTGTTGCGGATGATATGCAATTGGCAATGCTTGTAGGCCACAGGTTGGTAATTGAAGCACTCGCAAGATTCGCATCCAATTTGCATGAAAAAACCGCGCTGTCTGGCATAGTCTAGCATGTTGATGTGCACTTCTCATCAATAATTTCAGTCCGGTCTTAGCTGGTAGCTCAACAAACAGCTTGTTTTGGTTTCAGCAGCTGCTGTCGCAAATGTTCGTTGCCATCGCTCCCGCTCTTGCTCCAAATGCAGCACCTGACCAAAAAAGCTTCTCACAAAAGATTCATGAGCCCTGCACTGATTCAGTTGAGCGCTAGGCCTTGTAGACTCTCCAAATCAACTCCGTGCCTTGGTGGCCAATCTTTTTTGGAAGGCCAGCACATTGCCGTGATAACTGCAGCAACACTTTAGGATGGCAACAACCAAGTTCATGCGACGCGTAAGTCATGCGCTCTCAGTTGGAAGATGTTCAAAGATGAAAGCTTCGATCTCGCTTTGGTCCTAAGAGCTGTCTACACTTGCGGAAACTGCATGCACAAATCCGTCATTGACGATGCCTCATCTGTCATCTCTATTCCCATCTTGTCCTGCGCAATTCTGTGTTTTTCATGTAAAGTGAAGGCTAAGGACCGCGGGAAGTCCTGAAACAAGGCATACAATTCATCCCAAACAGCACGAGCACCGGCATCAAGGTCTCTGACGACATCTGAGTACCTGCTTCAACTTCGCAAGCCGAGTTGTACCAACAACGCCAAGATGCGGGCCGGGGCACAAGCGCTTGATCTGCGCGTTCAGTCGTGCAACTTCTGCTTCCGCTTGGCGATCTCTGTGCAGAGCTCCGGAGAAGCTTAGCTCTTTATCCTCCGCGATGGTGGTTTCGAATTCCTGCGGGCCATTCTGCTAACGATTTGCTCATGGGTGCACACCGTGGTTTCCAACTGGTTGCAAATCTGATCATTCCCAAGCTCCCTCCCCGAATACTGTTGTGTGTTCATGTTTCGGGGATGCAGCCCTATTTTTGTTGCTTTGTCACAATGCTCGAATTCTGTGAGCTTCCATGCAAGAAACCTGCAGCTTCGCGCTTTGATGCACTTTGTAAATAGGAGGCTTAGCACAACCTTCCAAAGGTTGCTGCAAAGGTGAACCCAAAACCCGGCTCGAAAACACTGAATTGAATCGCAGTCTCAGACTAGTGGCAGGTCTTGTCCCAGCCTTGGGCTGATGGTATTTTGCCCACCGTGGTTGCTTCATTGATTCATGTTGCTTCGCCTGTTACGCACCTTCATCTCCCAGCAGGTCAAGTTCAAAATCTGAAACCCAGTCGGATTGGTACAGTACTTGCATGACAGCTGCAGCTATACTGCATCATACTGCTACCACACTTCTTGTACAAGCGCTGATTACCCTTGAAATGGCCGTCTGCCCTTCACACTGTCACACCTCATCAACCGGCCCGTCGAGTTCCTGCACAGCGTCGACGTCTGCCTGCAAAGTGAAGATCGGCAAAACGTGGGCTTTGCGGAATCCGTGCCTTGTTTTACAAAGGTATGCAAAGGCTAGAACTTCCCGCTGTCAGAATCTGTAGCAGGGCAAAGTGGCAAAGTTCTGCAACAGCTTTCACATTTGCTCCCTCAGCCATGCCCAATGAGATAGAGTCCAGATACAGACGGTGAGGGAATTGCCATGGCACAGCTTCATGCAAGTGTACACCGTAATGTAGCGGTTTCTTTTGCATGGATAGCCTCCATAATGACACGCTTGTTGTCACTCCAAGATCTGCAAATTCAATTCTGAAGCACCTTAAATCTTCCAGCCAACAATAGCCAACAATACTGATTTAGAGATATCAGGCTTCAATACTAAGCTTCTCAGGCTTCTAAAATACATCAATATCTTGAGGCGGCCAAAGCTCAAACGTCCTTACAGTCCCGTCTCAAGTCCAGAATGCAAAATTACTAAGATCTCTGATCTCAACACTGAAGAACTCCCAATTGCAGAGCTCCCGGTTCTGTCACTTACTTGCTTTGCATCAGCCTCAACAACTGCTACCCCATTGATTGTTTCAACCCCTCTTTCATGGAATTGTTTGGGTGCCCTCTTTAATGTCAAAGAATGATGGGGTCGCTAATACTTGTAAAATGATATAGCATATGGCCATGAGGATGGGCACGAGTACCTCGCATTAACATTGGTATCAGTATTGGTACTCGTTGAGGTTCTTCAGCGCAAGCACAAAATCAATCTCAAGGGGAAGCTCGCCAAACTAAAACTAAACCCAAACCCAATAAGGAACCCCCTATATGGGTTTGTGTGGGCGGGCTTTCTGAGGATTACATTCTAGAGGGTCTCCCCAGACTGTGTGGGGGCGACCCCGCCCTTGGACTGCGAAACTCCAAAGACGTGGCGATTATCTCACCGCAGTAGCTGGGGTTGGATGCGGTGTTCTAAAGTCCAACAATGGAGGCGCTCGTAAATTCTACTTTCGGCTGCCAGCAGCGTTGCTTGCAGCGCTCAAGAGGTGTCTTTTGAATTACATTCAGCTCAGTAGGCATGCAACCGCATTCTGTAGCCAAGATTCATGAATGCAAAAGCTGAATTTGTTGATATCACCAACATCTTGTACCTGACCGTTGCGCGACTAGAAAGTCAGCCAGAGCCTCGCATCCTTCTCGTATAACCAGACTGACAAATATGCATAGGCTGCACAAAATTGCGCAAGTGTGTCAGCGCAAAAGAATTATGTGATAATTATACGTTGAGAAATATGTCGGTTGACATAGTCGTCATCTTGCCTCCTCAGCGGACTCTGGAAGGAATCGGCGATCACAAGCATCACAAAGGAGCCCATCGCGATCTAGTGTCGCAGTCAGGGCCAGTGGCTCCTTTCTTCGAACTTTGTGTGCAGATCGGCTCTGGCAAGCGGCAAAGCATGGCAAAGCAGAATGTGTAGGCAGACAACGAAACCAAAATGCACATCGTCCTCAGAAGAAAGTACCTTTATTTTCCAGGTAGTTCATGACAGTGATAGCTTCAGTCAAAAGATTCAGCAAAACTGCGAAAAAGGTGCCTCTTCGACATTCCACTCAGGCTCCAAAGGACCTGGCGAGTGGACATTTTTTCCGCATAAACCCCATGACTCAAGCCCTCTTAAAGCGTCCCATCACATCCGCAAGTATAAGCATTGCGCTCTCGAGGGTGCCATCACCGTAGGATGTCCCAGTGTAGAGAAGTGAATCCTGGCATTGCCATATGACAGTCCAGCCTGCAAAACACGACAGCGTATGGGGCAGCAGCTGACCTCGAAGGCGCTCTGGCACGTCAGTTCTGCACCTGATTCTTCCACGTTGTGCTCCAAAGTACACAGAATAACGAATTTAAGCTCATGGCCACATTGCGCGGTCTCAAGCTCTTCCATGATATCCTCTTGACATCTATCCTTGGCTCCCAGGCGCGCGAAATCTCAGTTCACTACCGTCACACGCACATACATAATCTGCATCCATTTGCTATGCAAGCAAACATTGAGACTTACAACACTTGGCTTTAGCACGCAACCTCGTTTCCCATCTTGCCTGGCACACAGTATCCTGCTAAAGGTCACTACCGGCATGCGAACAGCATCAACGAAGAGCAATGACCCTTGCACCTCTCACCACTCATGTGCTGGTGCAGGTCACGGTATTCTGTTCTGCATGTAATCATTCGCCACGATTGGTTAAGTCCTTCTCCTCTCCGAACAAAAGCTTGCGATGGGAAACAGCCTGTGTCTATGAATGAATACCTGAAGGAACAACATGCCTTGCAGAATTGTGCAAGGTGGCATCAGCAGGGACTAATGGCTCCATCCACGGTATTTGTACTTCGGGCGCGCAAAACCCTGGGCAGTTCCCTCGTGGGAGTTCCCCCTCAAACGGAGTAATGATTATTCACTTGGCTTCCCATCTCGAAGATTGTCAGAGGCCCTTGCAACATGTGCAAATATAAGAACTGCCTACATACATGAAAGCCTGACAGAGAAATAACCACACGGCCACATGAACATGAATGACATGCAAACACATCACGTGACATGCACTTGCAGGTCAATCATCACCTTTGCCCTGAGCGATCTGTTCATGAAGAAAAGGTCTGCACTCTCGAGCTGGCACTCCTTTAACTGGCTTCCAAACTGCACATTGCAGATACACAAGGTTGATCAGCCCTTGCATCCACTGACTTGCCATAGCTTCGTTGGGCTGGAAAGGAAAGTCAGCTCCAAATCAAACTGCAAGTACCTTTCTCCTGTCCTGCCTGCTGTAGCTTTCGTCCAAGCCAAAAACCGTCCAAGCCAAGAACCTTTCTCAGGAATTAGTGTATAAAAACACACACCAAAAAAGAACAAGCGACATGGCAGAACAACATCGCCAGCAACTGCTACTAGTAGCAGCTTGCATCAGCAGCATCACGCACCGCCCGCTTATCCCTCAAAGAACCCACGAGCCGTGGCCGGGCTGCTTCCAGAAATGGTACGAAAACAGGCCTCTGATCCGCAAAATAAGTGCCTGGTCCAGCGTAGCCCCAGTCTCACGAGGAGCTTGCGTAACAAACGTCCTGCGTAACAGACCTTCCAGCAAGTGCAACCAAGCATCGGCAACATATACGGCAGGCTCCTCCTATGCCAGGCATGGCACATACAGTTTCATAGCGACAGTGATGCATTTGTCACGCCTGTCGATCCTCAAAGTCTGGTCGAATTGTCACCTGTGCCGAAAAGAAATGGCCAGGACAGCTGTAGAATGCACAATACCTCCTCCACGACGGGCTCTGCTTCTTTGAGTGCTGCCTGTGCTCATACTTCCTCTGGTTACGCCGTGTAAAAACTCCAGCGTGAAGGCTCTGGCAAGGCCTGTGTCAATCTGCCACCGTTCCTGAACTTGCTCCCATTGAACAGTGTCCATTGAGGTGAATGTGGCCGGTTGGAACCTCTGAAGAAGCCGCTTGACCGGCGAGTCGTCCATCTTCAACAACTGCCTTAGCAGAATTTTGTAGGCCGCTGGGTTCATCTCAGACAAAGTCAGAAAATCTTGGAGTCTGGCTGCACAGAGGGAACATTGCGACTTAGACAAGCAAGGCAAGAAGCATGAAGCGTTCTACTTTGGCCGTGATGCAGGCTTGCCTGGTACGAGCGGCTGCAACAACCACATCAGGTAGTTCTGCAACCTCTGCCTTGAGCCGTGCCTCTTCCAGAAATTGCCCTTTCTCACATCTTCTCCAACTTGACAATGCATAGAATGCGTAGGATGTGTAGAAGAGCGCCTGCTCGCCATCACTTCGCCCAGGCTTTGCTCTTCCATCATCACGGAGGCCTGACGGTTGAAAATGCTGGTACTCCGTTCTGAAGCCACTAGTCATACTAGTGCGATCCGCCTTTGGTTGCCTCTGTCCTGGGGCAAGGCCACAAAGAATCACGCCTCCATCTCCTGCTTAGCCCGCCTCATTTCCATGGCTCGAGTCTTTGGAGCCTGCTCAACTGCGTGCATGATGGCCACAGGCATTGACTTCGCGTCGCTGAAACATGCCAGGAGAGCCACCAAGGTTTCCCTGGACGTGTCCTCAGGATTCGGAGACAACCCAAGGCCAGCATATGCCAGCACAGCAGCTTGGTCGCCTCACGACGACCGGCCCCAGCTCGTGGGTCGAGGCGCACCTCCGGTCAGCCGCAAAAAATTATGTCACTTCGCTTCCACAAGTGCGAGGCTAGCGCTCTGGTCCGTGGAAACCCCTTGCTCGAGCGTGCCGCCTGCGTGCGGGAGTTCAGTGAGATGTCCACAAAGTGCTGAAACGAACGGAGAAATCCGCTTCACACTAGGAAGCCCAGGAAGCCGCGCTAGCTTGACTTGAGGAAATCTGCGCGTCTCTGTCATAATGACAGGTCGTCGTGTCATGAAGACAGGTCGTCGTGAGTTAAAATGTGGAACGTCATCTTTCCAACAAGTCATGCTGGCAGCTGCTGGCATTGGTTCATACATTGTTGTCGTAAATGCATGGCTGATACCTGTCAAAAAATGCCGCAGACTTGCTGGAAGCATTCTGCTGAAATTAGTCAAAGCTAAGTGGCGAGAGAGGAAGCATGATCTCTAGTTGGGCAGGGCACGGACAGCAGGGTCTGTAGGTGCTGGGCGGGAGGCGGGAACTTGTGGGGCATTGCATACAAGAGGCAGACACCGTACAAGGCTTACTGTGAAGCATGTCGCTGCACACTTACACATGCTTACACGCTTCAAGAACGTAGATCCAGGGATGGCTCTCAGCTTGGACCTGTGCCAACGTGCTATGAGATCCTCGATGTGAGGTCCTACCAGCAAGTTTAGAATGTGCGGAACCGTATTGTGTAGACATGGTCTCACACAACATACCCATGTTTCGCGCAGACATTTGGAGTATAGTACTTGGCCGACATGGACCCTGAATCTGAATGATGGGTGTTCGACAAAACGCGGGATACTAAAATTGATGTTCCCCCATGCTTGAATACTTACAACCTCTTGCATATCTAGCATGTGTCTGGGTGATACCTGCGCGGGACCTGTTGCTTGTAAAAAGCATTGATTTTGCTTGGGCCTCCACTTGGAGTGCATGTGTTCTTGAATATTCGCAAGGGATGCACCATGACTGCATTATTTCCATGGCCAAGAGCCCGGCTAAACAGGTCATTGTGCCCTTTTGTATATTTCTCCATGGGTCATGCGTCGGAGCAAACAACCAACAAAAATGGCGTGGCATCCAAGCGCTACTATCATGTGGGCAGCGACCGCAGTCCAGAGGAATCGGGAAAGCAAATGCAATCCAGAAAAAAACAACCCAGTACTGAGTACAGGGTTCCGTATTTGTCGCGGTATTGCCTCCTGTCGCGCTGGGGTTCCATATCTGTATGGACAGCAATTACTTTCACCAGGGTTAACACACATCACTCAGTGAGAATACAGCGGATATTTACACATCAGAAAAATTGCAATCCCCATGTACACGCTGATTCCAGGGCAACCCGACGCAGGGGTGGATTTTTCCGTTCTGCTGCGGATGCTGGGGTTGGAGAAGAAATTCACAAGATTCAAGGCTTAAATATTGTATGATCCCCCATGTAGACGCTGTTTTGACACATGCCCCAACATGGGATGATGAGATCCTGTTGTGGACCGAATAGGCTGCCCGAGACGGCTTTCGACACTAAACGATTGAGCCATGGCACGTAAACAATCAACGCAAGACAGGGAAGCCTTCCTTAAATTGCAAAGAACTGCATGGATGTGACAATGTCTCATTTCCAGTATTTCTGGGGGTGAGACACAGAATGCAACATACGCGGTACCATACAGACATGCCTCATCATCAGCTGAAACCCTGTGGACGCTGTAGAAACAGCACATTGCACCAGTTGCTTTTACGTGACATCTAATAGGAGATGCTTTCGATCTGGGTCCCCCAGTGTGGACGTTGCTCGATGGGTAAAACACCCAGCCGATGTGAGACAACCCGACCGGGGGTAGTTTTCCACGTTCTCTCATGTCAAGCACTTCCGTAGAAACATCTAGATGTAGATGTTTACCTGCTTATGGCAACGCGGCTGCACCCAAGGCTTTATCTAACGGGCGTTAAGGTCTGAGTTTGTATTGCAGCTACGCGGGACTTGGAAAATCATAAAAAAAGGCTGTGTCCTCAGCCTCTTGTCTCAAGGGAAAGAATTATGACAATGAGGATTCATGAAAAGGTTCGAGCATATCTCAATAGCACCATGGGAGTCATGGGAGAAGTATGACATCTCCTCAGAAGAACCGTGAAAAGATCCTTCATTCATACCGCATGTATTCTCACGCAAACAAATGATCGCTTGAAAATCTTGTAAGCACGAGGCCAGGATGCCGACTCTTTTCGTAAGTGATCGCAAACTGCAGACGCTAAGTCGCCAACTTTTGTAGGTGCCTGTGGAGGCAGCCTGCGCAGGCAAATAGGGCAACACCAACACACGCAAACCAAAGCGCTCTGCAATCTATCTGGGCACACACAGAAAACCACATGTGATGAGGTTCGCGACATATTGTAACAAATGCCGCAGGCCTTTGCAGCTTCAGTTCAAAGGCGTCTCAAGAGCAATGATACAGTACTTCTTCTTGCTGTCTCATAAAGCCAAACTCCCGCCACTGCCATCTGCCCACAGCCCAAAGTTTGGTCTTTTCACTTGCTGCGATATGAACTCCTCATCAAGAAGGCCTTCCTGGTCTTACAGAGCACCTTGATGTACAGGCGATCTTCTCTTCGGAATTAAAGGAGCCACTGCGCGCCACTATCAAGCGCCGTCTAAACAGGCGGTCCCACATGAGGACAACCTGACACATACCAACTGCCTGGAAGGGAGGTTTCAATATTGAGACAGATCAAAACAACCTGAGCATATGGTCAGGCCTTAAGATCGCAGCTAAAAAAACTCAACGACTGCCATGATTTAAGGGCGAATGCCCTGTTCTAGTCTGATCTGGTGACGAACTGAAAAATCAGATACGAAAGTGGAGCTAAAGCTGAGCTTGGAAATAAAATATGACACAAAATCCGAAAAGCACTACGGGCTCTACAGTCTTGGGGTATACAGGAGAGATTATCGAGTCTATCGCTCAAAGATGAAAGATTTACGTGAAGAAACTTGCGGTCACGGCGTAGCACGAAAGCTTGCCAAGCAGACGACACAGCCAGGGACGGCACAGGTAACTCTGGTTGCTGGAAGACGCAAGAGAAACTACGTGAGGACGTGCACTTTCTGCAGGCATGCGTAGTGGGCGGTCAGCAGAACCGCTGGGCGAGGTCCCCCCACATCAGAACCGAACCCCATGGTAGAGACTCCTTGTAAGAGGGCCCTTCCTTTCTTGAAGCGTCTGGCTCAGACCTGGAGCCAGCATCATCGACATACAGCATCCATGGCCCAAGCAGCAGGTCTGAGGGCACACCCCTGAATTTTCCTGATATGATCTAGGTACTAGGGAAGCGAAATCCCAACAAATTCCTGCCTTCGCGACACTCGAGGAGCTGGAGAAGCACCGCTGTCAGCTTCCTGGCAGCTTGCGTGAATTTGCGCGACGCACGCGGCAGACAAAGCCAAGACACCAGCAAGATCGAAAGGCGAGAAGCCCAAGACCTCAATAAGGGCTCTGAAAGCATGGCGAAGATCGTGCAACATGAGAGTCAGGGCAGCACTGGACGGCGGCTCTGGCAAACATGTCCGTCAGCCTGGTTCGCCTCGTAGGCCTGCAGCCAAGAAGGAACCCTGAAGAAGTTGTATCCCGCTCATGCCCTCTTTTTAGCTCCAGGCTCACGCTGCAAGCATCCATCAATCAGATCACGCAATTCTTGTGAGTACGAAGCATTGATGGGAGCAAACCTGAGGTCGCTCACTTGCCGAACCGCTGCAGTTTAATCAGTTGACATGCGAGATGGGACTTCGATGGATTTAGGCTGGCCGTTGATACCGAGCAGCTGTCCTCGTAGGATCTTGATGAGCAATGCAGCCTGGTTTTTGGCTTCAAACGGGTGCCTGCAAGGAGGTGAACAGAGAAGCGAATCCACCGTTCAGTGCGCAAGGATTCCCGCTTTAAAGTGCACATTTCGTAGACCACGCAGCCGAAGGCCCACACCTCAAGTTGCGCGACAGCAGGATAGGCAAGTGAGGCTGCATTCCCATGTGCTGTTTTGCAAGCCGCCGGCAAAGTGCGCGGGGTTTCAATGCATAGCTTCCTTCCACGCAAATGTCCGAAGGCGACGTCTGCCCAAGCCGGTGGCTGAAGCTTCGTGTAGGCTTTGAATGGCTGTGGATGCTTTGGGGTTTGCTGCATTTTGCTCCCCTGCTGCCCTCTCCATTTCGCTCTGCACTTCCACATGTATGCCCCGTCGCCAAGGCGGCACGCCAGTGATGTGAATCCACATTGCTATCCATACTCGGGAATTCATCACTCACATCTGGCACAAGAATTGGGTTCATAGGGAACATCCAGGGCCGTGGCATCACTCAACTCGTTGTATGGCCTCTCCTCGCAAATCTCAGGGGAGAGGTAGTAGGGCGTCCCAACCTCAAGACAATTTTGCTGAGTGGGCTGCTTAAAATTCAGTCGAGGACATCCGTGAACCCTTACCTCACATGTTCTGAAGCAAGGCTTTGACCTGGAAGGAAGCAACACTCGTTAAGAGAGCAGAGGTGCTACTGACACAAACCCACTATGTAGGTGCATGAAAACTGTAATCCCACCTACACATCCTTGCTACGCAGGTTCAGGGGCGGGCGAATGTGTGTGCAAAGCTTGTGTTGCTGAGCACACGTGCCACCTCATCTTAGCGACGTCTTCTGGCGCTGAGACTCATATGGAAGACATTCCGCATCTTCACATCTGCCGCGCTTCAAGCCTGAGCTTGCCACGCCAAGATCACCTAAACGCACATTGTCATCGGTCTTCAGGAAGACGTTCATGGTCTGGAAGGCAGCGTGCCACACATGCACCTTCAACATGTTGAACGATGCGCCTTGATGTCGCGATGAAGGATCCTAACAGTAAAAAAGCCAAATTTCAAAGAGTTTTGACCGTACTCCACCAGAGTCCTGTTCTGGTGGAGCCACTTCAGTCCGAGGCCGATCTGCAGCAAGTACTTCCAGATCGCTCGCTCCTGTCGACTGTCTGTAAGCTTGTCAGGAAATATGGCCCCACCGCCTGAGATGTCCTCAAGATTGTGGTCTCGCAGTTTTAGGAACTGACCCAAGTCACCTCTCAACGAAAACCCTTCCTAGCAAACTTTCAGTTGCAAGTTCACGCCTCTCTCACAATATTCCATAAGGATGTGCAGCGCCTCTCCCTCCTCGAACAACAGCTTTCGTTGCCGAAGCTCAACATCGCCAAGCAACATGGCGGGCAGACCACGAAAGATCCCAAATACTGGACAATGTAATCGCAACCATGTGAAACTCGACGCAGGAGGTTTACCTGGATGGCATCGACAAAGGAAAGGAATGCTTCCATTTCTGCAACTCTTTGCAGGCTTCAGCAGCTTTATTCATGCGTTCAGCTAGCTGCGCTTACAATGAGCTGGTTGGGTGTAGCAAGCCACCCACATGATTGAACAGCCAGGTGCCTCTTTGTTTGCCTCATCGCGAGCGCGCTGCTTGCAATTGTTGAGCTGAATCTGCTTGCAAACCTGCCAGCGATTTGGAAGTGTAGAGCCTGGCTGACTAAGTTGGGGTTGAGAAAGCACACAAATTTAGTGCCCAGCGCAGGTAAGTCCATCAGACTTCCTCCGAACTTTGAATACAACCTTGCTCCACGTGCAGTGCAGATTGCATAATGCTCTGGTTTACTTGCCGGCCTATTGCTGCTACAATTAGACATGGCCAGCCGGGGTGCACCATGTTCCACCAAGGAACACCAAAGCTTCCTCGACCAAGCTGCGGGCCGAACTCGAAATCGCTCCTCAAGTGCTCACAAGATCTCTAACCCTCGAGGCAAAACAAGAGTCAATGGAGGAATCACGTCAAACCTCTCAACATCTGCCAGCGCCAACCCTGCTGACTTCCGCACAACTCCCTTTGAGGAACGGTCTGTGATGCCATGCAGGCATGCCATCCGACATCAATTGAGTTCGCCTACAACTGGAAGCAGGAAGAGTGATGTGAACGGCTGAGAAATGCGTCAGACGCTGCTTTGTGCGCTTTAGATTGTCAAAGGCCAAACTGAGCCAGCTGCAGAGTCTGCATAAGCTCACACAATCTCACAATCTTCTTTGGCGGTTATAAGTTATACTGCATTCAACCTTTCTTTCAGCATTGTCCTTCTTTCAATCTCATGCATCACATGCGTGGCCGCACTTTTTCCTGTGATGTGACCAGTCCAATCCTTTTCACGATTAAAAACAATTAATAAAGAATCTGGGGGTTCACCCAGGACTTGCTTTGGCAATACACTGCATGCCTCTTGAGAGCCCACCTTCCTCAAGCGAGGTTTCTCAATGGCCAGAAAAATGTTGGTTCGATACCATGTGTCCTCAGCCCCCGAACTGACAAAATAGCATATTAACCAATTGGACTATGGCGGGCACTCCTTCCGCAAATTCCGCCCATTCCCATAACATCCACATCTGCAGGGATAACAAAGCTCCCTGGATAAGCCCTGCCAGTTTCTTAAGGTCAGGTCACTCAGATCAGCCCTTATAAGTGTCGTCAGCGCGGCAAAATTGCTTATGAACCAGACCCCCTTGCCACCATGGAATGTGTGTGCCCGTGTGCTTAGGGCAAACAACACTATCGAAAGCTCGAGCTGCGCAATCTTGATGTCGCCTGGCGGGAAGAGGGAGTAGACCTGTTCGTCGACATTGACAACGATTGCTTCGCGGTCTGTGTACTCGGGACTCGATCAGAATGAATCCACGTAGCGTCGCTGCAAACTACAAATCGATTGCATGTTGCTGGCAACAAACCCGGCCGAGGCTTCTGAATGGAAAGCTGATCAATTCGGCATACCCAACGTGCTTCACAGCCCATTGCGCTCACAAGAACTGAAACACGCTGGCACCAGCAGCTAGCTGTAGTTGCCAGGGAAGGACTGGAAAGCCGGGTAAGAGAGGGAAAAAATGGCTGGCTGAAGACAGTCCCAAAACAGAACATTTGCAACGGGAACAAGGAGACGATCGTTTCCTTTTTCCGGTGTTGTCATAACAATATCCGCCTTGCCAAGGTAGACGGGATATGCCATGTTTCCTGCAGGGCCACACGCCAGTTCTGCACGCACGGCGCGGCAACTCAGAAGATAGATTCGCTATGTTTATGGAGCCTGTACACGCATGGTGAGGGATTGGCAATGGGAAGGGTGAGGGAGCTCATCAGGATATCCACGCCGAGGCCCGATCCGGACCTTTGACCCTGACCGGTCACTCTGATCATCTCTCCCATTGCGCATTTGTCCTGGCGGTGTTGAAGCATATGGCGCTCTGGCTTCACGACATAATTCAGGGTTGACGGATGGACGCACATTCCTCAGCAACACCAGTTTCGGCAGCATCTGACCAATCGGACTTGAGGGGCACCTTCCTGGATAAGCCCTGCCAAGTTTTGAGGTCAGTCGGATTGGGATCGGTTGGATCGGTGCTGATAAGGGTCATCAGCACAAGATGTCTATGAACCAGACTCCATGGCATGGAGCCAACCTTTTTCCTCTTTTTAGGCGAAGTTCTAGGCCTTCCTTGGCGACGACCGCTAGCTACGGTCACCAGAGTCACCAGAGTGTTTCAACTCTTGTGAGCGCATTGTGAAGCGCGTTGGATACGGCGAATCCATCACATTAGCCATTGGGACCCCTCATTTGAGGAAGGCCTCCTCGAGCGCAGCAACAGCACGGTTTGAGTCCACAGTGACCTCTCTTCACTCGCGGCCAATGCTTTCAAGTAGCCATTGGCCTCTTGTGTGGCCATGGAGCAAATGGGTACCTTTTTGCGCCTGACAGGCGAAAGCAAACGCTAGCATGGGGCACCTTCTTGGGCTTCGACTCCAACTTTCGAGAAATGCCCGACCAGGCAGAGGCGTTCTCGGCGCACGAGCAATTGCGATCTAAAAATGATCCGGTTGGCAGAGCCGAAGGGCTTTTTGCTGCAGCTCGCAAGCTGCACGGTGTCCTTCACTCCTTAACTTCCTAGAGCAAGGGATCTATGGCCGCGTCGGCGCCAGTGAGGTGCAGGCATTCAGATTGCGACGGCGCATCGTTGACACAGAACGGAAAGACAAGACCCGCTAGCACCTCCGCCCCGCAATGCTGCTGTAAATGCCAGCCGCAGTCCAGAACTTTGCCATAGCCACACAACGATATACCGCGGTAGCCACTTCGCTGCAACACAACTGTCGCCCGGCATAAAGGGAAAGCCCATTTAATGACCGGGAGACTGCGTGAGCGATGACCTTGGCCCACGTAAACGCTAGTTGGTGAGAAACTTCCTGCCGGACTGCTCGCAATCAACCACCATGGCTCTCTGCGGTGTACGCACACGTTCTTCAGGATGAACTGGTCGGAACCCAAGCTGCGAAGGAACGCATACTTCGTGAGACTTCGTATCAACCCACACACCGGTTTCCCACACGGCCGGCGTTCACGCAGGCCATCTCCCAGCGAGCTGCGGAAGGCTTCCCTCAGCCTTACCACCTCGAGCCAGCACCGGCGCAATGAACACTGCCTCTTGCAGCTGCACACGCAGGCGCTCCTGCCTGAGGACGTAGGACAACATCATGGCTATGGCCCGGTCAACGAACATCAAATTGGCCATCAGCGGGGACAAACCAATTTCTTGTCATCTTTTCTGCCCTTTGCAGGTCGCAGGAAAGTTATTACTGCTTGCCGCCTAAGCTCACACTGGCCGCATGAACCTCAAACCCAACTTACCTGGAAATTTCTGTCAGAATATCCCGGGTCGGAACACATCTAGACCTTTCACAGCGTAACGTTGGAATTCCGCTGTTCAGTGTTGGCCACCAAGCTCACGTCCTTCACAGAAAAGCGCTGCCGTCGTTTGGATGCCATTGAAAAGGAATTTCCAACGTTACGCCTGCATCTTTCTTTCTTCGCCAACTCCTAGCTCAGGTCATCGGTATAACTTTGACCATCGCAAATCCTCTCTGCTTTATGCACCTGGAGGCTAATGGCACAGTCCTCCTCAACGCAGCGCAGGGCGGCAAGTGCGAGGTGTGTTGCCAGCATCAAAACTGCGCTGTCTGGAGAGGACAATGACTGTTGTCTAGTGGGTACTTATAAATGGATCGTCATTACTTCTGAGATAGGAACATTTTTTGGCGGAACGAAATCAAACCAGAATGACACCTGCATTCTGCTGCCGAGTATGCACAAACGCCGCAAAAATAACACTGTCCGCAGCTGCCAACAACCTTGACAGCTTCTGTAGTTGAAACATGCATTTCTTCAAGGAAAACAGGAAGGTGCCCTATTCCAAAAAAGATTGCCAAAAAATGGACACGGAAGCCAGAAAGCAGAACATCGGAATTTCCTGGGAAAGAATCAGTCAAAATTTGTATTCCTTGAAGCAAGTTCCAACGTTATGACGTTATGACTTCGCTGCCAAGTCCGTCTTTGGCAGCATTTTCTTGAAAAATCTTGAAAATTTTGTCGCGGCCCCAGGGAAGCGCATGTTTTCAACTCCAAGGGTGTTATTTGCAGCATTTCCAAAACATTTGCTGCCGCAAATATGGCCAATTTATTACGACTCAGGGCAGATGACAGCGCAAGGTCCTTGAGGAACGTAAGACGCCGTTCTCTTGAGTAGAGTAAGGAGCGAAGGGCACCATTGTCGAACGGACACCATTGTCGAACGGACACAGAAAGCAGTCCACAGGTCTCTACTAGTTAGCGAAGGCTGCTCAACTACTTCTGGGCCCAAGTCGCAAGCTTTTCTTTTGCCCTGGCGCCACTGGCAGCACTGCAAATACCATTTATGGTGCCTGCAGACGCCAGGTCTTTCCTTCCAACAGAGCTGAAATCTAAGCTTGCCTGCGAACGACCGCCTGCAAGCCGTGAATAATGCCTTGTACTTCAGGATAGCTGGGTTCTAACATAGGGCGGGAGATACATTTGTCACGCTTCGGGCTGCGAATCAGAACCGCTGAAATGAAAGGAGGGTCCTGACCTCGGTCGACTCCCCGAGCCACAAGAGAAGAAAGGAGGGAAGATTGGCAGCAAGCAGCAGGCATGCAAGCAGGCTACACACATGTCCTTTGCGGCACACTCACTCGACGCAAGAACATGCTAGCTCGCAGGTGTCGTTGAAGGAGCAGCTGCCGTTTTCTCTTTATCGGTCTCATCCCGCCACTAGCTGTTTTCCACAGCGTCGCATAGGAACTGCACAAAACGGTTAATTTACGCACGCGAAAATATGAACAGCGGAATGGCTGCCCAGATCCTTTGCGGGTTCGCCTGGACAGCACAAGCGTGTGGCCAGAGTAAAGTCTTCCACACCCGCGATCTACAAATCCAAAACAGGTGGGCCGTCGTCGCCGTCTGGGCTGCCCGCAAAGGAGACAACCTACCAATTCGCGCCAGTCTGTCTCCAGGTTCGCTGCGCTTCTGAATCTTCACGCAAAGAGGTGGTATAGGTGAGGGGCCCGTCTCAACGCGCCCCCCCATGTCCTTGTTCTGCACCATGGAGTC